TAATAGGGCGAATCTGAAAGCTCTAATGGGATTCAAGACCGCCAATGTTTGTGTCGAATTATTTAGATAGCTGAGAGCAATTTCCTGCGCCTCTCATTCTCCATTGTAACTTACGAGTAGCAAAATTGGATGACAAATGTGTCTCCAATGTAAACATAGACATTCATCGCAAAGTATGCACGTGATATTTGCGCCATAACTCACCAAACATCCTTTCCCGGAAAGAATCTCACACTATTACGAAAACAGACAGGATCGAGTGAAAAATTTTATTTGCATGGGAGAAATATACAGATAGCAGTCAGGAAGCACCAGATTAACCGCCACTGGCAACTTATGCTTGTGAACAAACAGTTACAAGTGCGTACTTGAATTTGGCACCGATAACTTTGCCTTTTGTACAAAAGTGAAAGCGCTACTATTTCATTAGGGCTTTCCACCACTCATTGCAACTGAATGATAATAGTTTAGTTTAGTTGCACCATTTTGGGAATAGAAAGTCACACCGCAGTGAGTGGTAGAAGCAAAATAAGTTTAAATGTTACGGGAGTTTTCTTGTTGCACTCAGTGGTATTCATCCGTTTCCAGTTCCTAAAGGTTTTGACACAAAATTGATCAATATTCTACCGAAGCGAGTAATTTTAGATCCCTGAAATATTTTCTCAATAAAGAGTTCCTCGTTAAGCACAATTTTTTGAAAACATTGCACATGGATTATAATGTTGGTTTGCTTATCGGTCCTAATAAATAATTCAGTTTAGCAATATATGAAGCACATAAATAGTAACTAAAAAATTAAGACAAGAGGATAGCACCGATGTAAGCATCTTAATAAATTTTTCTTAGCAGCTGTTATCCAATGTTACAAACTCATTCCCGAATTCGGTAGAGAATCCTTCATCTTTATAAATAGATTAACCAATTGAATCCTTCATGCACATTAAAATGGCTGACCAATATTACATTACAAAAAATATGAAAGGCTACAAATACACTGATTTGTTTTAATTCATATGCAAAGCTATAAACGTAAATTTTTGATCATTACAATACATTTATTTAACTTTGTTACTGCAAGATAAATAGTTTAAAAGTTGTGATAAGTGAAACAAGGTTGGAAAAATCAGAGTACTGGAGTATTGATTGAATAAGCCGGTAGTTCAAGGTGCAGATATAAGTTCAACTGCATTTTCATAATTTGGGAAATGTTACTACAAAAGAGCTTTGTTATACCAGCAGAATTGGTATCCAGTTGTTCTGGCATTTTATAACACAGGATGTTAATATCGAAAAAAATCGGATTCAGTGGATACAGATGCGTACAGTTTCAATACGTCAGAACTCTTTCTAGTGATGCACTACGAGTGGAATGGTCCCATTTAATCCGTGTAGCAGATCTCTCACATGTGTGGCATTCGTATTCATGGTGGGATTGATTCCACTTATGAAGGTGCAGCGCTTTCGCTGCAACAAGAATCCTTCTTCCCGCGTTGTTCGGGATTAAGATAAACCGCCAGGCCTTTGACACTTCTAGTCTCTCTAGTCTGTTTACAAGTTATCTACCTTAGAAGGTTCCAACACCTAGGCAGTCAGTCGTTGACTTGTTGTTCATGCTTCTTTCCACTGACATCTACAGCGTCCCACATTATTTCCTGTGCAGATTCCAATGCGTGTACTTTTGCCACCGAATCATGTAGTAAGGCCTTTTACGGAGGTCAGTTTCTCAATTGACATGAAATGCCCCATGTGTAATGCTATCTTTGCGCTCAGTTTTCTCGCTGTTTAGGTCACGCTCGTGCGTATTGTCTCTGTAACTGGTTTTATAGAAGCAGTTGATCAACCTATACCTCGGAACTTGATCCACCAAACACAACACTTTGTATACAATAGCCTTCCTATCTTTTCATTATATGGCTTCAGAACTTCCTTTTTATAAGGGATTGATACCGCCACAATCTACTCCGTGGTAAAACCTGAAGGTGGGTTTAGGTATTTCTGTGATAAACTTTTTAATGAGCATCGCAGGTATCTAATATTTATTGATGTGTTGTTGCTGCCTTTCTATGGCATTTCTATCCCTCTTCCACTTTGCACATTCTAAGGCTTGTGACACATTGGGCAATCGCTGCATAATGTTTTCGCATGCACAAAACTGTAGTGGAGTATTGCAACTTATCTGTTGGTTTTGCCATATATCGTTGCTTTATACGTCCTCCGTTCCTGTGATCTGAATGTTTTTAATGATCTAAGACAACGATCAACTGGGAAGTCCGAATGCTCAGTTTCCCTATAATGACCCATTAACCCATTGACACGTGATAAAAATTATCCAGTGATTCGGGTTATTTTTCGGTCATCATTCTTAAGTGTTATAAAATACCAAGCGAAGTGGATACAAGTGGCCTGGAGAATCTCATATCTGATAATCGAAATGTGATAGCATCATAAGTCTATCCAAAACCGATTTGTTAAAAAGCTTCCTAAGTTATGAATTTATATTTGGTTGCAATTTTGTTTCAGGACATTGAGTTCTCCTGAATTTCTGATATCATTTTTGTTAAATGTTTTGTTATGCTAATTTAAGCTTGTATTAAGCGAATACCTCTTTAGTGCTGCCGGCGGCAGTACTTCTGGTGATAATTTTTTCGCCCGCCACTCCGGTCGGCATGTGCCCGGGGAGACATTAGCAGAACAGTTGAATGTTTGATACTAGGTGCATCGATGTCAGAAATACTAAATATGACAGGCAATAAACATGTTGAGAGAGAAGAGTATATTTTTTGCTACACATGTTGATACCTGGAAAATTTGGAAGGTTTTCGGATTTAGAAATGTTACTAGTGAAGGCGAAAATGTGATCACCGTCTCGGGTGATTGTTGCCTGTGTCTTACTGCGCATTCCCATTTTGCCGGTTCGTATTAACGAAGCATGTAGAGTTACGGATATACCCCCTGTTTAAACGTGTTCCCTGTTCGTTTCATACTTTATTTTTATTTCCTGACCCAACGTTTTATTTGAAAAACTACGATAAACGCAACCTTTTTGACTCTAGCTCATTGCTTACACTTCGAATGGTCAAAGAGGTACACGAATGGTCAAATAAGAACAAGCTTCAATTGAACATGGCTAAGTGCAAAGTGATGCATCTGCGTCACCAGCCGGTGAGCGCTTACAAGCTTGAAGACCACACCTTGGCGAAGGATTCTCAGGAGCGTGACCTGGGTGTATTGGTACGTGAAGATCTCGGGTGCTCAAAACAAGCAGAGTAGGCAACGAGAACCGGAAATCAAAACCTCGGCCTACTTCGCAGAGCCTTCTGTTGCTTTGAACTATCAATATTTCCCCAAATGCTTAACGCCTACTTGCGACCTCACGTGGAATATGCTATTCAGGCGTGGCAGCCGTGGCAGAAACAGGATCTCGTTTCTCTCGAGACTCCTCAACGACTGGCAACGAAGAACGTCAGGGGCCTCTTTCATCTGCCCTATCAGCTTAGACTGAAATTTCTAAGGATCTACAGCAGTCGATATCGGCTTTTGCGGGGGGATCTCATAATGGTTTAACAGCTTCTGAAGAATCCAAACCACCTTTTCCGTCCGCTGCTGGAATTGAACCACAACACTAAACTAAGACATCACCTCCTGAAACGGACAATTCATTATATCTGGCTTAAATGCTGTATAAATTTCTTTTCCCTCCGCGTGTGCCAGCCTTGGAACGACCTCCCTAATTATGTCGTCTCTGCTCCCAATCTGGAGATATTTAAAAAGGTGTTGACGATGCATTGTCTCACTTACATTTCATTTTATGACTTGTTAGTCAGGGGCTACAAAACGCAATCAAGCGGTGTCTTGCCAAAAGCCTAACCAATAGATTTATGGATTTATACGTTTAATACGCGAACATCTCCGCTATTCCACAAAAGTCTATTGTGAGTCCACCACAACGCTTTTTCCTTTATTATGCAATTGATTTTTGCAATAATTTCTATCCCACGGGACTTGTTAAGCGATGCTTTTTACCCGTAATAAACCATTGTTCCATTGTTCCATACATGTTGAACGTAATGCATTATGTGGACTCTCATTCGCTGACATACAGTATGAGGTAGCGAATTGGTAAACACTCACCACATCAGGTATGCTTTCACTGTAAAGGTCTCTATTTTGACATACCCGCTTAGGCTACAGATTGCTCGGTTAGAAAATCGATTCTTTTACTTCAAATCGTGCCTGATCGAGTCGCTTATTCGGCTGTTTGACTCTTTGGAGTTCCGTTTTCCGGTGATTTCATGAGGGCTTGCCAAACGGCCAGTTATTTTTTAGGAGAAGGATTAGGGTCCGTATTCTGAAGGAGATTGTTGAGATCATCCACAGTATTTTAGTCCAATCACTTGGAAAAATTGCACCGCTCCTATTTCTGACTTTGGCATTTAAACTGATACGAAAGTCTTAAGTGCAGTTTGGATCTATTGCCTAGTTTTCGGTGAGATGCAGTAATTGAATGAGGTTTTTTCACTCAATGTCTTATCCATACTCTGTACGCAGACACAAACGAATCCATAACTCATCAACTCGTTTTCAAAAGCCATTAAAGCAAGAGAATATCCACCAGCTAAGACACGTTTTTCACCGATCTGCTTCAAGCAATTTAGCATAGCGCGAATCCCCACGGGAGCATAGCTCGCGGATGCTTCCGGAAGTAGATACTATTGTTTTGCTTGCTTCTCTTTTTTCATAAAATGAAACTTAATGTTGTGCTTATGAAAACTCTGACCAACTGCATACTATACACCTAGTACTGCATCCGTTGCTATTAAACAAGATGGTATCAAGCAGTTGCTCTAGGCAACCGTACGTTTATGCAAATATATGAGAGGTTATATTCCATGACATACAACTTTCTTCAATACAGCTTATAAAAATGACTTGTAATTTGAAATACAAAAGATAGATACATAGTATTTAATCCCTGCTGCAAATGGATTTGCTAATACGTATCAGCAGGCTACCTCGGGCTTAACCGTCCCTCCAAACGGGAGTCTAGTTGCGGTTTGTATTAGTTCGCCAGCACGGAGTTCCATTGTTGGTGGTATTTGACGAATCGGTCGATTTTGGCACATGCCATTTTTCACACTGTTACAAGGGACTTGAAGTGAAGATGACCTGCGCACAGGTGCTCGTGTGATCAGCCTCGGGAAGGGGCCTATGGGTCTCTGGTGCTCCATAATAGGCGAACATGTCTTAACCCCAAACCATTGATCCACACTGTCTAAAGAAGTTCTAGTGCGCTGGTTACTCTGCAGCATAGCGTTTTGACGTTCCAATAGGTATACGCTACGTTGGAGCCGTATGAGCTCTTGCAATAGTGTGTTGTCATGATGCTGCGCTGCTTGTTGTTGCAGTTCCAATTCACCGACTTCACTGTACGGTGAAGAAATGGAGTGATGCCTTCCAGTACAGCAGTTATGCCGATGACGTCCTGGATTTTTGGTGTAAATCGAGACGTTTGGTCTTGAGAATGAATGCGGTGTTTGCACTCTTGTCCGCGGTACACTCAGATGTTCAATGGATCCCCAGTTTCTGTTGGCATTAGATGCTGAATGTACCATTTTAGATGAAACTGACTGTACACATTTTGCACACTGAGGATTATGAGAACAAGATGATCTGGTGGACGATGAAGATGAGGTTGACGCTTTCTCAAAGTAAATCAATGGTACATTATGCTGGGAATATTCATTTATTGATTTCGAGTTTCCGTTACTCACAACTGCTGCATTAGTGCAGTCCGCAATTGCAGAACATTCGAACGGATCACTCAAGTGAAACTTAGCCAATGTTGGTTGCGGAGTAATGTTTGTTGACGGATAGTCATAACTCACTATATCCCCTGAGTAATAATACGAAGTACAAGTACTAAATTCTTCAGGAACTCGTTCAGGGTAGTCACAATCTAAGCAGTCAGAACAAAGAGAATTGACAAGGTTTGTTGGAGCTGAGAGATTTCGACTATTGACTAATGACCGTTCTGAAATCCTAGGGTTAATATAGGTTTCAAAAGCCGAGTTCTTATGCACCTTTTCTTGCGTGAACGATGTTGCAGCTTCTGATTTGCTCCGATATGCGTGTGATTTCGGAACATTCAGTGGACCACTCAGGCGTTCACTCTTGATATCTCTATCCATAGCGGTGTGCAGCCGCATTGCACAAACGCGCTCTAATGCATTCATCTGTTCTATGCCAGAATCTGATCTGCATGTTGAAGTGCCTACTACATCACGGACGTTCGGAACCAATGTTAGCGGCGGTGTGGGTGACTGACGTGGAGTGCACATTAGAGCTGACATGCGGCTTGGATCGCTTCCATAACCGTCGGAGCCGTCAACATTTGCGCTGATTGTGGCGGCTCCATTTGACAAGCAGCATCCGGTAGTGGTCCCAGCTGATGCCCTAGCAGGTCCCCTTATCTCCTCAGGATTGTAACCATAAGACGTATCATCGGCTTGCTCACTGGGCCTCACTGGAAAGTAAATGGTAGAGAATGAAAAATCACCACTTTAACAAACGTAACTAGGATTTATTAAATTTCCTGAGCTGTTCGGATATCATTGCAAAATCGCAAATTATCACACCATTAGAGAAATTACGCAACTGCGATATGCACTACTAATGTCATGCACATATCCATATTCTAGGTTTCTAAAAGATAACAATTATATGTTTGTATACATTTCATCCAGAATACTGCGACTTTGGCTAAGATAAATTGAACTGGAGTAGAAATAGGCAAAAGAATATAACAACCAATGATGGTAACCGATCTTGTTTCGCTTTAGCACAATTTCTCTAAGATACAGACAAACACTAGTCACGTAGCATGCATGCAATCCTAAATTTCGCTTTGAAGGCAACCTTCAATATGCCATTTTAGCTTGTGTGAGCAAAAGCGCAGGAAAATTGGTGGAAAATTACCCACTTCTTGGCACAAATTCATTCGTAGTGGCCATTGCCAGAACAGATAAGGGTAGAATCCCTTCTAGCAGGTATAACAGCATGTCACTTAATTAACGTACAGTTTCCATTGGCGATTCTCAACATGTGCACCTTGGTACATTGAAATCGGGTAGTCAGTCTCAGCGATGACACCTTACTGTTATTAAGTCAATGTAGAAAAAGCGCGTACATGTATACGTAAAGTAGCCAGTCTTAAAAGTAATCTTTTGGTGGTGCGCCGTAAAAAGGTCCATGATATAAATCCTATAACAACGAAGATATCGTCCATCCTACTAGGAATCCAAATTCAGCATAAATTAGGCTGGAGTACGTTTATTACATAAAATTGGTTGATTTCCTTCAGGACTGTAATTTTTAACCGGCTTGCTTTTTTGGCTATTTAGTACATACTCAATGAGAGATTTGGTTGCCTAGAATTATTTCTACTGACATTGCAAAATCAGGTCTCTGAATCACAGCGCACCCTTGAGACACTGAGGCAACTGTGGCCAAATTTGATGCCTGAGTGGTTATTTTTCTGCTGTGTGATATCTGGTAACTTGGCGAAATAGAAGAGATAAACTGCAATGTTTGCAATACTGTGTACTTTGCTACATGAATGCTAGTTAGCGAAATAATTTGTAGCTAATCAAGATTTTGTAAAGTGCTTAGAACCGACCGTTAACCCATGATTTCTGTTGGTTTTGTTGACAAAAAGTTTGGTATAGTTTATGTGCAGCATTTCGCTTTTGACGCAAAAAGTTTGCCAACGCAAGTGAACTAGCCTCTATAGCAAACTGGGAGTATACTCACTAAGACTGGGATGTAGCTGGAAGTTCTATCGGGTTTCAGGCCACTTTGTAAAATTAATTGGTACACACAACAGTCCCTAGTGGTCACCGTTCCAAGGTCAAATTTGTAAGTCCCTGACAGTGATGTCTATTGGGTTGATTTGATGTTTTTTCTCTGCCAAGGATTCTCTTGCTGATGCTTCTCAGACCGACAAACACTGCGAAAATCCTACCCTGTCAATTATTTACATGCAGCTATTCAGCTTGCTAATCTGAACCTCCTTAGCAGTTAGCCCTTGGGGATTTGATCACGACCATGCACAAATTGAAGGGAAAAAGGAGTCGTAAAAGTTACTAAGCTTCTACCTACTCCCCAGAGACTTCGAATGTTTTCCTATTTATGTGACCTTGAGAGAAGTTGCGTGCTAATCGTTCACTTGTGCACTCGTGGTTTTTTAACTGTGGTTCAGCGACATTTTGTCGTACACATTTGGATCCATACTTATTCTTCGTGCTGTTACTTTGTGATACCAGTTTCCCGAGTTTACTCCAGTGCGTCCTAAATTTACCCTGAATTCTAAATTCCGGGCAGTGTTTCGCCGATATCCAAGCGCCAAACTTTGCCTAACTCCAACCATCAGAGATATTGTTTGGTCTCACTCGATAGACATTTCAACGGCTTTCGAACGAGCTCTCACTAGTTCAAATCCAACATTGTTTCGTACAGCTACAGGTCTAAAAGCATATTCATCCGGCGCGATCCATAGGCTTAACCACGAACACTCGCAATCACATCTTCGTGTATTCCGCCCCACATTCAACCTGACACCTTCTACTGGCACGCAGAGAGGACAGCCTGCAAGCATACAACTGCAACGTGAACACTGTGACCTTACCGACAACGTCAATAACAGGATGACTTTTTACCATAGAGGGTGAGTCATTCAAATGGTTCGTAACATCTGCTCAACAAGCGCGATGCCCAGTGTGCCACCGATTAAAGACCTTGTGGATCATGTTCCAAACTTGTTGAGGGGGATATTTTATGCCGCAAATGTTGCAAGTTCTTCCATGCCAGATGCATGTGAGTTAAACCTAGTCAGACCAAGTTATTAAACAAAACAGACTCGCTATGTTTCTGTGTGGAATGCACATCGATCCCACTGATAAAACGCGTGCTCCTATTATCTCAGAAGTATGACCAGCTACTAGCCAAGTTTGAGGAAATGGTGACCACCAAAATGACTACGGTTGGGGTAAGCATAGCAGACTGTGCAACCCAATCCTCCCCCTTGGTTGCTGCTCCTAACCAGCGAAGAACTGCAAAAACACCGTAAGCAGCACAACACATAGAGTCCAGAACATCAACATCTGTCCCAAAACCACGCGTAGCTCACATTTTACTATAGCGGTTCCGAGTTCGATCGGAGTAACTACACGTGAGGCTACTTCCAATCTCCCAACGGAATGCGTAGAAAAGGAGCAAGCTGGTACTAGCGAAAGTTCAGTTACGGTTGCCTCCTTGAAGAGCCGTCATTTAAAATTAACATTACCCCAACTGGATCGGAAACTGAGGAGCGTAGTGGAGTTTTTCTAGTGCAAGCACCACCGGTTTCCTTCGGTACATCTCGGAGTACTTCAATCACTAATCGCGACATGTCTAAAGGTGTAAATTAACACCTACCTGTACTGAGCGTACTGTGCTCCAATATCCCAGAATCAAAGTCGACATCGATAAGAGGCAGGCAGTTGGTTGACCTCAACTGGTGGGATATTATTAGTAACCTAATCGGAGTTGTACTGAAACCTGTACACGTAGTGCGTATTACACGACATCGCAACTCTAAACATTTCGGAGAGCCAAGACTTCTGCGCGTTGTGCTGAACTCCATCACTGAAGTAGAATCAGTACTAGTGTCGACAGCTGGTCTCAGAAATGAACGCTACTCTATCCGTATCTTTCCATACTTCTCATGGGGCGAGCGTTATCGAGTTAACCGCTCCTTAGTGGACTACCGAAAGGGAACTTCAACCAGAACCATACTTCTTCACGGGGTTACTGAAACTGAAGCATGTGATGAGCATGAAGTAACAACCCACGCTAAAGAACAGTGGTGTTATATTCGTGAAACACAATGCTTGGATGATGTGTTAGCGAAATCCGTGTTACGACTGCCTACCTCACGGAACTACAAAGGAAGTAGCCCGAGAGTGTTGAAGGTGGTCCTTCAGCCAAAACATATGGCAAGACGGATGCTAAAAAGCTAGTACATGTTCCGTTGCAGGCGATCATCTGATGTTCGGTTGAAGACAATCAGCCATATGCCTCTTAGAGAAGATATGCCACTCAAAGTTCTATGAAAGAACAATGCACCAGTAGTGTGCTGAATGAGTTCATACAACCTGTAGAAGATGATATTGAACAGACACCTTACACTGTACGTCGAAGTTTAGACACGGAACTAACTACTCGGAAGATGAATAAGACGTTAAACCCTTCACCAAGTACACATCGAAAGAACGATTAGTCGCGTATGCGTAGTACAACCTCCGAAACATTGCTTAAATCTGAGCAACTTTCACATGTGTACACTAACGCCCAAGGGCTCCTCAGTAAAATTACTGAAGTTCGACTACGTCAGGTTGCGAATGCTTGGGACCTAATTTCTATAACCGAAACTTCGTTACACCAAGAGTTGACTGATGCTGAGGTTGAGATAGTCGGAATGTCACTCATCCGGAACGACCGCCCCAGCAGAGGAGGTGGGGTCCTACTCTACTACCGCAGCGATCTACAATGTACAATGGTTGATGATCTGGAAACACACGTTACCGACTCACTCTGGTGCCGTCTCCGAGTAAGACACAACGACGCATGTCTCATAGCTATCGTTTACCGCCCCCAACGTCCACCCTGGAAATGGATTCCCGCTTGATCCGTGGCCAAAACAGAGTAACTCGCACTAGGTACAGCCACATTCTCATCTCCGGGGACTTCAATCTACACAATCTGGAGGTTTCGGTATCGCCCAGTGAGCAGTTCAAAGCAGACTTGCATGAACTGATCGCTAATATTCCTTTGTACAATCATGTCACCACGCCCACTAGATTCAGGACAGCAAACAAACCATCCATATTGGACCTTGTGCTCACAAATGAAGAGCTCATGGTTGACAAGTTATTGATGGATAGTCCACTAGGTCACAGTGACCACGTACTAATAACTTTTGACTATGTGTGTTATGCAGAATATCCATCTGAACACTCGGAACTAACTCATACAATCACACGCTACCATGTATTGAAAGAACTCGCCTACGCAGCTGCTTGGGAATTCTCAAACAAAAGTCCCCTTGACAACGTTTGGGCGGAGTTCGTTAATAGACTCTACGACATCGTCAACAGAGCATCAGAGACCAAGCCACTTCGTCCCCAAAAATGCCTTCAATTCTGTGGAGCAGGACTCGAAAATATCTGTCGATAAGGGATGCAGCATAGCGTGCCCACAAGATTAACCCCGACTCAGAGATTTGAAGAAATATCCTGACCCATCGCAACCATTGCACCGCACTTGTCCGTGAGGACAAAATAACTTATCAACAGTGCCTAGCCAAAAATTTCATGGCAAACAAAAAACTACTGTATAATCATGTCAAAAAGCTTCGTAAATTGAAGCATAGAATCCCCCCACTTTTCAAGACAAGTGGTAGAGCACAAAGCGCAGAAGAAGCAGCTAATTCCCTGCGGGCTGCAATACGCCCCAATTTTCGAACTCACAACCTATACCTGTCCCATAATGTCATGCTGTCTACACATGTAATTTTCAACCCATCAATTGTGCTAAGGAAGTTACTCTCACTGCGTGAGCATAGTTCTCCGGGAGCAGACAACATCCGCCCGAAGGCACTGAAGGCTGTGGCCAACAAGCTAGCTGAACCACTGTCACAGTTCTTTCAAAGGTGCTTTGATGAACAACAAGTCCCTACTATGTGAAACTGTGGCATTATCACCCCTATTTTTAAAGGCGGTAGCCGTTCAGCTCCTGCAAGCTATCGTCTAGTGACTCTCCTCTCTGCGCTCGCGAAGGTGATGGAAACAGTCGTCGCTGAGGCTCAAATGGACTACCTGGAAAATACAACTTCTTGGTACTGGAGCAGAATGGCTTCCGTCAACACTGGTCATGCACCACTAACCTACTTATTGCACGAGCTAGTTGTACGGAAGTGGTTGATGTTGGGGTCGGAGTTGACGTCATCTATCTGGACTTCTCCAAAGCTCTCGACCGCCTTGATCATCGCATTCTACTTCAACGGCTACAGAGATAGGGGATCGGAGATCATGTACTTGGTTGGATTGGCAGCTTTCTTCAACAGCGGAAGCTTCAGGTACGTGTTAGGGGATCACTCTCTAACCCAATTGAGGTGGAATGTGGTGTCCCACAAGGCTCAGTGTTGGGACGGCGCTTATTCTTGATGTTTATCAACGGCCTGACAAGAGTTATCCCCTCAGATTTCCTGCTTTCGCCAATGATGTTAAGATATAGCGGGCGATTATTAACAAGCCAGATCACGAGCTGCTCCAACATGACCTAGATTGCATTTACGAATAGTCAAAGAAGAACATGCTTCAATTGAACATAGCTAAGTGCAAGGTGACACATCTGGGTCACCAGCCGGTGAGCGCTTACAAGCTTGGAGACCACACCTTGGACTATGTATCTCAGGAGCGTGACCTGGGTGTATTGGTACAGGAAGATCTCGGGTGTTCCAAACAAGCAGAGAAGGCGACGCGAACCGGCAATCAACACTTCGGCCTTCTTAGCAGTACCTTCAGGCGGTTTGAACCGTCAATCTTTCCCCAAATGCTTAACACCTAAGTGCGACCGCAAGTGGAATATGCTCTTTAGGCATGGCAGCCGTGGCCGGATCTTGTTACTCTCCAGACTCCTCAACGAAGGGCAACCAAAGACGTCAGGGGCCTCTTTCATCTGCCCTATCAGCTTAGACTGAAATCTCTAAGGATTTACAGCAGTCGATATCGGTTTTTGTGTGGGGATCTCATAATGGTTTACCAAATTCTGAAGAACCCAAACCACATTTGCTGTCCGCTGCTGGAATTGAACCACAACACTAAACTAAGGGGTCACCATCTGAAACTGACATTTCAGTATAGCCGGCTTGAATGCTGTAGAAATTTCTTTTCCCTCCGCGTGTGCCAGCCTTGGAACGACCTCCCAAATTATGTCGTCTCTGCTCCCAATCTGGCGATATTTAAAAAGGTGTTGACGATGCATTGTCTCACTTACATTTCATTTTGTGACTTTTTATCCAGGGGCTACAAAGCGATATCAAACGGTGTCTTGCCAAACGCCTAACCAATAGATTTATGGATTTATACGTTTAATACGCGAACATCCCCGCTATTCTACATAAGTATATGGTGAGTCCACCACAACGCTTTTCACTTTTTCATGCAATCCACTTTTCGCAATGATTTCCATCCCACGGGACTTGTTAAGCAATGCTATTTTTACCCGTAACAAGTCATTGGCTCATTTTTCCATATACTTTAACTTTGGTACATGACTTCATTTGGAGAGGATTATGTGTTACACAAGGAATAATGTGTTTGATAAACTTCATTAAGTTTTAGATTACTGTAGTATCTTGCTACCAGCCTCATTTTACTCACATATGTCATTGCGCAAATTCTACAATTCATTAACGATTCTGTCCGCGGAGGTTCCTATAGTAGCATTTAAACGAATGATGTGTTCTAAAGCCATTGTTCCTAAATCTTCCGTGAGTATGACAAGTATGGAAATGAGCCAAACATACAACACAAAATGATTGCGCTTTGCTCACCCATTCCACGGGATAACACCCTGTAATCGTGAATTTTCTTGTAGGCATGTGATTCTAACTTCCTCCTAGCTTTTGGATAATCCTTCAGAACATCCCACAAATCGGATTTAGACAATCTGAAAAGATCGGAGTAGCCCAGCGACCGGACAGACGCGGTTCGCCGATTACCATACTGCCCCAAGTTGAGAATGGACAATTCACCGAAGTAGCTGCCGGCACGCAATATGGCCAAAATGGTGGTGTTGTCATCCCCGAGGACATGCAGTGTGCCTCGATTAACGATAAACATTTGTTTGCCAATTTCCCCTAAAATAAGAAGATGAAAACATTAAAGCGAGCTAAAAGGAAATGAGATATACAACTTCAGCTATCGAGATACTGATGGAAACAAACATTTTTAGCAACATATTTGTGGCTACAAGAGAACGAAACTAAGTGGTAAAAAGTTGAAAACTTGAAGAACAGCAAGTAACCCAAGTTATTAATACGTCACATGGCAGTTGAATATTGAAAACTGATGGCACTGTATTTAACACAATTATATTCAATGACAAACACGTTTGTGTACAGCTGTCTATCAGCGATCTCTGCGACAGGCATGCTAGCATAATCGACTTTTCCATACAAGTGGAATGCCAGCTGGTTAGGATCAGAAAATCAGTAGCTAATATACTGTATAATATCAATTTAACGGCAGCCATAGCAGAACTCTTCAAAATCCTCACTGCCGCCATGTTGAAATATTACAATATCATTTGTGGCAGCATGTGAAATTCTGACACACTGCCTCTGAAAATTATACATAGGTCATATACCAACGTCTGCTAGGTAAAACATACAACAAGAACTATCGAGAACGCTTCCAACGATTCCAGCTCGATCCGCTTTGGTTACGACGATTGAGACATCAAATGATGCTTCTACATGACATGATCCGTCAAAACACCCACTACCATTTGCCATCCCTAAGACTACAGCATAGTTCAAGTAGAGGTGCTACGCATTAAGGAGTTTAACCTGACCATACACAGTTGCAGGGTAAATTTGCGGTCCAACCTTTTCCTTATCAGAAACGCTATCCCGTGGAATAAGCTCCCAGTCACAATCGGATTTTGTGACAGCGTAAGGAACTTTGGCCTTAAACTCGCCAATTACTTAGACTTGAACGCCAGTATGACCCTCTTCGCTTGGGAGAGATCATTTGATTAGTTGTACCAAGAAGGGCTAGACAATTCCGGATGAGTGAAACAAAAAAGGTTCCATACTGTGTAACACATCGCTAGTGCTGTTACCGTCCACTATTCCAACTAGTGCACATTGCGTCGAAACACACTGTGAGTTAACATAAACTCTTGAAACAGCAAAAGCCATGAAAATCACAATTTTTAACATTAACGCATGAGCATGATTTATTCTATAAAATATGATCTTTGCCGAATATAGACAAAGATGCTCACCCGATGCGAAATATACCTGTTATTATTGTTTTATAAGTTTGCGAGTAATTATAATTATAGAATAAAACAGTGCCATCAATGTCTGATCGAAAGCAGTAAAACTATATATGGATTAATTGTCAGTGCTTTATGCCTTCCTCAAGACTCTATGAAAGATTTCAAAACGCAGACTTGCTTAACATCGAAAGTATTGCCAGTGGTTCAGAGTACAATGAACCACAAAATTACGTATTATTATTATTCTCATCATCAACAGCAATACATCAGCCAGTTGAACTGATGCCTCGCTGCCATACAACCATGAGGACCCATGAAATAAAGAATAAGAAGAGGGAGAGAAGGGAGACTTACCTGAAAACCTTAATGCCTTAAGCCGACATTCAGGGTCAAGGCGCCTACACCTTGTGTAAACAATATACTGTCACAAACAGCTGGCTATCGTGCAAAGATAAGGCGGCATCGGCGAGACAGCTTGCTTGCAGCTTTCACTGCCACGCGTCATAATCAGCCCTTACCCCGCAGATAACTCAGCACCAAAAGCACTTTAAACAAGCAATCCAGTTAGGAGATGGCAGCAGACGAGCCACTGGTGTCTACTGCGAGCCATGTCCTGTAAAGCCTCGAGCCAAGCAAAAGGCGAGTCACGTGGACTCCAGCCCGGAAGGCGAGACGGACCAACGGCACCGAGTTTGGCCGTCAGTCACTTCATTTCCCGCTGCCAAGTCAACTTCTGTGCACCTCGAGCCTTGCGCCGCCCTACACCTGGCAGACTAAACAAGGCCCACCGAGGTAAGCGGTGACCAGGCATACGTAGCACGTGCCCGTGCCAACGCTACTTACCGTATTTTTATAGGGGTGTTTGTACGATACTTGTCATCCACAGTTGGAGCAGCAGCTTCAGCTTAGTGAGTTTACCGCGATGTAACACACTTCAGGTAAGGATGTTAATGCCTCGCTTCTGACTTGATCATTGTTAGACAGTTCACATTACTCCTACCCGTTTCACCCTAAATCCAGAAAAATTAGGGTACATCTAATTAAGACGTGTTGGGCACAGAGCTGTGGCTCGCTTTGGGTACTCGGACTGTACTTAATCGAGCAATATATGGATTTGAGTATAGTAAAGTAGAAGAGGAGCCAAGTAGCAATCGCTTCTGGCCAAGTGCAAAGATACATCTTAGCGCACATAGTATTTGCATTCTGTTTCGATGTACATAGTTTGTGTTGTATACGGAATTCAACCAAGCCATATGGTACTTCGTGGTTATGCATTGAAAGAGTACTAGTTAGCAGTGTTTTGTTCATCGTGTATCTCAGGCCATAGCAGAACATCCTTAGGATAAATAATAACGATCTATTAATGACCTTGCACAGGGAATCGCTTTAAAGTTCCTAATGTTTGATGACGATATCAAGATCTGGCGCAGGATCCAGGCGAACGCCGACCAACATGTGCTTCAGAGTGACCTAGATACGGTGTATCAATAATCGACCCAAAATTATTCAATTCAACATTAGTAAACGCAAGATGCTTTCCATCCGACATCAGAGCAGCTACTCATACCGACTGGGAACGAATGTACTACAACAATCAACTCTCGAACGTGACTTGGTTGTCCTGGTTCAAGATGACTTGGGTTGCTTCAGGCAATCCGAAAAGGACTCGAAGACCAGGAACCAACACGTCGGGTTGTTGCGACGAGCTTTTGGACAAATAAACAGCTCCATTTTTCGATGAATGCTCAGTGCGTATGTTCGCCCCCATGTCGAATACGTAATTCAAGCCTGGCATCCATGACTGAAACACGACCTTAATGCACTGGAGCAGCCACTACGTCGGGCATATAAGAACGTAATTGGAAGGCGCAATCGGTCCTACCAGGAGAGGCTGCGACGACTAGGATTGTTCAGTGGAAGCTATCGCAAAACACGAGGCGACGTGATTATGGAATACTTGATTCTTTGACGTCCGCATACTGTGTGCCGCCGTTTACTGCAACTCAGCAACAATACAAACCTGAGGGGCCACGCATTAAAACTCGCATAACAATACAGTCGTCTGGAGTGCCGCAGAAATTTATTTTCCATTCGTGTCTGTCACCCGTGGAATGCTCTCCCAGAATCGGTCGTCTCTGCACCAACACTAACAGTATTTAAAAGACGGTTGGACGATGCACTCATCCACTTACACTTTGTTACTTAACACTACGTCTCCATTCTACACCCGGAGTTTACCATGGAATTATTTGTTGTTGAATATGGTTGCTGTGAATCTAAGAGGATCGCAGGACTACAACGAAGCAAACGATACGTCCTTATTGTCATATTTGAAGTATTAACTATTTTACTATCCTTATCGTCATTATTATTATGTTGATATTCCCGCCAACTATCCAACGGTACTTGTAAAGTAACGCTTCTTAACCCGTATAAATTCATTGTTTATTGTTCATTGATTTAGCTAAGATGACCGAGAGGCATACTTCTGGCACGCAAGTGCAGAGGCTTTTGCAAATTCACTAAAGCACGCCGAAATACTTCCCAATTACTCGGAATTTGTTACTAGTATGGGAAGTTACAACCGCTCTTCCCTAATTTGATATTGATGAGTAGGCTGATGTTGTAAGCTCAAAACTGGATTACGCTACTTCAGTTGTTTTCCAGTTCTGCGAAAACAAAAATTAACTCCTGTAGAAATCTTTATGCAAATCGTTAGCAAGCCCACTGTATTGATAGCGAACCAGTTCGAGAGCTCGTTTGAAGATAGTTGAGCTTTAAACTGTAGCACACAGGTAAGCTGCTGATTAAACAAGGAATAAACGTGATCCCATACCGTTCCTTCTATTATATCGTATTGATAGTTAGTCTACCTCGCCTCCGTTTAAAATTACTATTTCCACAAACTTCATGACTGCGTAATGACTGGCAAGAATACTTGAATCTTCGAGCCTGCCTACACAAGCCCAATCGAAATAGCAGCAAATACGAAAATAATGGACTAATGGAAAATGATGTCGTTCGGAGATGAGGAACTAGACAAAGCCACCATTCAGGAAACAAGAATATCCGGAACTTATGATCAGAACCTGAGCCCTCAGATCCCCAAACATACCAACCTGATTTTAACAAATATCTACTATTTTCTTCCACCAAAAAGATGGGATTTAGGACAAAATCCACTACAGACTTTCAGTATCTCATCACAATGCAGGCATGCTTTGTTGATATTTAGAATGCCATGATGATTTCTTCAAAATTGTACCCAGTATTACAAGTGTTCCTGCCTTCGTCTGCCCCAAAGCGAAAATGCACATCATAATGATAATGATGATGATGATGATGATGATGATGATGATGATGATGATGATGATGATGATGATGATGATGATGATGATGATGATGATGATGATGATGATGATGATGATGATGATGATGATGATGATGATGATGATGATGATGATGATGATGATGATGATGAATTGCACATGATAATAACAAGCTGCTTGACGATGATATAGAGTAAACGCAGACGGAGAAAAATATCACATGGAGTAACTAAATCTCAGTACAGATAGGGTAACCGTCAAACGTTTAATATACCATGCTATTTCTCATCCATTAATAAACTTATATCAGAGCTGATAAACTAGAGAACCCTCCAAGAAACAATATGTATCTCGGAAAAATATTCACCTGCTTGTTATTTATATTTGAGAAGTTTTTATAGCTTTGACTAGCATAATGCAGGCAAGCATCAGCGAAGTGGAATCCTTGTGACAAATATATTTATGCATTAACCATTATTATATGCAGTTAGAAGCAAATCAGCTGGTGACGCAAATAAATCAC